CTAACTGACAATATAGAAATTATATCTATTGATAATAAACAATCCGTGACTGAGACAGCAATGTCATAAAAATCCAATTAGATGCTTGTATTTACAATCCTATGTGTATTATACATGTATATTAACTCAATAATTTGAAACTTTAAATGATTATATCTAATAAACGAATTAAGTTATATTAAAAATTCAAATTCCATTTACTATTAAATTAAAAACTCAAACATTTTATTGAATTCAAAATATGTGTTACCATTTAAAAAAACAAAGTTGACCCCCCTCCAAGGCATAAGGGATGAACTTAAAAAGTATTACATAGTTAAAAATTCAAGAATAATGTGTAACTAAAGATAATNCCCTCCAAGGCATAAGGGATGAACTTAAAAAGTATTACATAGTTAAAAATTCAAGAATAATGTGTAACTAAAGATAATAAAAAAAAAAAAATGTTTAAATTATTATTATTCTGCAAGTAATTAAGTGGGTTATGATAAAAAAATCACCCTGTATAGTGCCGTAAAGAAGGCATAGGAAATAATATATAGTAACTTTTAAAAATTATAAAAATTAAAAAAAATAGTTTAGAAAGCCTAGTTTTTATTATGCCTATTTGTATTATGTTTATTTTTCTAAAAAAAAAAAAAATGAAAATAAGCTTTTTTAATTTTAAAAACTTTGAACTTTTATGAACAAAACATCTCCATAATTTAAAATTCTGAAAAATAACACATTTTGGAAGTACATACCATAAATATATTGACCCGGTTTCAAATGGTGTCTTTGATATTGAAGAAATTTTGTTATTTAAAGTAAAAAAAAAGTTACGTATTTGTGTTAAAAAAATTCATTATTATTATTATTATAAATTCATTATTACAAAAGCTTCCATTTTTTTTCACATTTAATTGAAATAATTCCATTTATTTGATTTTTATTTAAAACTAATATCACAATTTTCAGCTTTCATAAGTATCTTTAATTTTAAAATAAATATTGAATTATTAAGCTGGGAATGCAATATAAAGTATAATACCCTTGGGCAAAACAAGTAAAACAGTAAAAATTAATCATTTTGAGAATTTATTATTTATAGTAGTTATTGTACCATTATCTAGTTGTCATACATTTTTAATGGAGATTTCTTAGTTCCTGTAGTTTAAATTTTTTTAACAAGCAGAATATTATGAGGTTGTCGTATAAGAAAAAAATATCACTTACTCTCTCTTCCACCGAAGGTATATTACTGGATTAACCCCTACTTTCTTTCGTAAATCATTCATTATGTAATTAATTGAGTACTTGTCTTAGGGTGTTGATATTATTACTTTCAAAGTTACAAGGTATGCCATATTTATTATATTTTTTTAAAGTTTTATCCATTAAAATTAATAATATTATTTTATTCCTAAATTTTACACTTAAAAAAATAATACATATAATTTTCATTTTTCCAATTAACAAAAATTTAAAATTCCATTATTAAAATACTATAAAAATTGTTTCAATTAATTAATTAAACGTAGATATATTATAAAAAACCTAGCACAGTGGGGTCGCGGCATAGTGGAGACGTTGCATAGTTGGGTCCAGTATAGATTTAATCTGACAGTGATTAAAATCACTATCATAAGAAATGCTTCAATGCAAATCTGTAGATAGTGTTTAATTCTAAAAAAATTGATAGATAATTACAAAAGCAACATCAACTACTATTTCCNGCAATTTTAAGTAAAAAAAATTGAAAAAATATCGAAAATTAGCGATTTTTAAATTTGTAATTTTTTGGGGGATTTCCCCCGTTTACGGGGAACGAGGGAATTTTTTTCAATTTTTGAGGGTAATGTCTTCGACTAGATACGATTTGTGATCTTTTGACATATTGTTCATCAAAATCAGTCCAGCGAGAGCTGAGATTGAGCGTTCACAGACACAAAAAAAAAAATAAAAAAACACATCATAGTAAAATTAATACCTTCTCAGCTTCGCATCGAAACTAAAAATTGAAAAAATTTCGAAAATTAGAGATTGTAAAATTTGTTATTTTTTTTGGAGGTTTTCGCATCGAAGCTAAAATAGTTAAAAAGATTTACTCAATTGTGAGCGTATTATAAAATTTGATTATAATTGTAAAATCCATCGTTAAATTCGGGTGAAACTAAAAATCATTTTTTTTTTAATTTATGATTTATATAGCAACATGTTACAAAAAAATTTGGATTATTTTAGACTGGTAGCAGCACACACAAATAGAGTTAAAAAATTAAAAAATTACAAAGTAAAATTATTTACTTTTGTAGTTGAATACTTTTGCTATTTTAAATCCCCACCAGTGAGCAGGTTAAGTGTTAAATTTTCTAAAAAATGATATCAATTGAAAGGGAAATATCTAAGGTTTTAGTATAAAAAAAAATTATGTTGATTTGTTCATTTTTAAAAAAGTCATGGTAGTTTTTAGTAAAAAAAATTGAAAAAATTTCGAAAATTAGCGATTTTTAAATTTCTAATTTTTTTGGAGTTTCCCCCGTTTACGGTGAATGAGGGAAATTTGTTCAATTTTTGAGGGTAATGTCTTCGACTAGATACAATTTGTGATCTTTTGACGTATCATTGAAAGAAATCGGTTCGGTGAGAGCTGAGAAAAAGTGGTAATAGACATACAAAAAAAAACACATCATAGTAAAATTAATATCTTCTCAGCTTCGCATCGAAGCTAAAATAAACACATCATGGTAAAATTAATACCTTCTCAGTTTCGTATCGAAGCTAAAATATTTTTTTTTAAGGAGATGTATTTTTATAACATTTTTTAGAGTCTTTATCGCATATTTTTAACGGTTAACCAAATATTATTTTTACGGTTATCTTTTAATTTCACACATTATTATCTTCTGACACATTCTTCACTAATATCGTCCATTTTAACCATTGTTGATTTATGTTTTGTGGATTTTATACTGATTTTCTCATTTTAATGTCAGATTCCAAATCTATGTATGTACGCCTAAAGGTTGATATTTGTATACACCGATTAAAATTCCGCCTGTAATAAAAAACGAATAATTACTACTTTTATCTGCATAGTTGTCTTGTTTTTCTAATAATTTTGAGCACGAAAAATCTACAGCATGACGGATATCGTCCTCATTAACTAACTCTACAGATGCCGTTTTAAAAGATAGATTTTCGCATTTGGTTTCATTATTTGATATGGTATAAGTCGCTTCAAGTTTAAAGTTGATTTTTGTTAATATACTCAATTTTTCAACTAACATATCTCTTTTCGCCAACAAAAGCGATTGATATCCGGTTATGTTTTCAATATTCTTTTTACAAAATCATACAATTACATTATTTAATAATTTTTAACGAACTTCATAAAACGGTTGGTTTTAAAAACTGCTCATCGTTATGCCTTATAATTGTTTTGTCTTTACCCTTTTGTATTTAATCGTATTGTCATTATTATTTTTAACACGTCGTTTAATTACACTCGAACCTACTTGCATTCTTGCTGTAACACTTTTATAAAAGAAAAACCCAAACAATCTTTAGTTATAGTCATCTATTAGCATATAAATTTTTAATAAGATATTTTCTTTACTTACTACATGTAGATATAGTCCCCGAATCGGCATGTTTTTCTATAACAATATTAGAGTTCACATCATACTTTACCAAATCTATAATAATACACTTTTATTAACACTCTACTAAAATATTTTCTCTTTTAATATTACTATTTTTTAACAATAATAACAATAGTTACAGTATATCTTTTGAACGTGATATACAAGTCTGCATTTGTCTAAAAAAGTAGTTGGACATAAATGACATTCAAATCGTATATCATCATAGATTATTCTATGCACCTTCAGTCATTTTTTGGAAACAATATTATTTCACACTTGTCACAAGAAAACATCTGTATAAAGATTAACTGATTCACGAAAAAATTTGAAAGGTGCAATACATTAACATTTACTCATTAGCCAGAAAATGTCTATTAACATACATAGTAGCAAAAAATTTGATATTTTTAGAGAATTTTCATTTTTTATTGTAAGCGAAAAATTTATGCAACCCTTTCAAACTATAAAGCAAACTGAATTAAAAAGTATCATTAAATATATAAAACATTTTATTTAGGCTATTTGTTATGTTATAATCTAAATATATAATAATTTAATAGCTTTATATATGATTTATCGATAGTCAAATAAAATAAGATATATTTAAGGTTTAATATATTATTTATTCAATTGAAAAATTTTTAAAATAAAATTAATACAATTTTTTTTTTAAAACGGGCGATATAAGCTAACACTAGTGTATTTTATTTTGTAAGACTTCAGTATAAATTAATAATTTTTAGATAAGTTAAGAAATGATTAAAATTCGTTTTAATTCGTTTAACTTAATGAAATATTTATTCGTCATACTTACATCAGCACAAATATGTTTCAATACAAATGCTAATCCAGAAATTCAAGTGAGTGCGAACAATATTTCAGTTTTTTTAATATATAAGGTTTTTTAAACAAATTAAAGGATCCTAAACTGCTAAGAGCTCAATAGAATTCCATAAAATACAGTATGAATATAAATATACATAAATTCATTAATCATATAAATTAAGCGTACCATAAATGAATCTATAAAAACATTAAGGAACTAGAAACTATTAGAATATAAAGATCAAGTTTTTATTCAAATGGTATTCATTAAAATTTTCTATTTAGAATTCAATTATTATTATACTCTCTATTATTATTCATCAAATAATAATTTATTTATTAGAAAGATCGTTTGAGAGTACAGAAAAAAATATCAAGTATTCTCTAAAGCCAATTTAGTAAAAAATGTTTCACCGCAATAAATTTAAGTTTTAAAATCAGATTTTAACAATATACATTGAAACATTCATTATTTTTTAAATTTTTACACTGAAATTAAAGTACTACAAAAAATTACGGTATTACCGTTTCTTTATGCATAACTTTTAGCTTCGATGCAAAACTGAGAAGGTATTGATTTTACTAATATGGGTTTTTTTTTTGTGTCTGTTACCACTTTTTCTCAGCTCTCACCGAACCGATTTCTTTCAATGATACGTCAAAAGATCACAAATCGTATCTAATCAAAGACATTACTCTCAAAAATTGCTATAACTTTTTTAAAAATAACCGAATCAATATAATTTTTTTTTATAGATGCATGGTATCATTTGGTACCTTTCATTTGGTATATTTTTTTTTTTATATGTGACCCTTTACTTGTCCACAGGGGGGGATTTAAAATGACAACTTTTTCACAAAAAATTAATTTTTTCAACTTGATTTTTGAAAATGTTCCGGAAGGTCTGACCCTTTTATATATATCTTAAATTAAAGCTAATGTAATATACTTTATCATGAAAAAATAAAATTTCGGACTTTATTTTATCTTCACGGTGAAAATGGCTACCAAATGTTTTTTTTGTGTGAAAATTTTCGATTTTGTATTTTACATTTTAGCTTCGATGCGAATTGGTTTTACTAAGATGTGTTTTTTTTTGTGTCTGTTACCACTTTTTCTCAGCTCTCACCGAATCGATTTCTTTCAATGATACGTCAAAAGATCACAAATCGTATCTAGTCGAAGAAATTACCCTTCAAAATTGAAAAAATTTCCTCCGTTCCCCGTAAATGGGGGAAACCTCCAAAAAAATCACAAATTTAAAAATCGCTAATTTTCGAAATTTTTTCAATTTTTTTTACTTAAAAGTGCCATAACTTTTTCAAAAATGAACATATCAATATAATTCTTTTTTATATAGATGCATAATATCATTACCTTTCATTTGATATATTTTTTTTATAAATTTAACCCTTAACCGGCCCATAAGGGGGGATTTAAAATGACAACTTTTTCACAAAAAATTTACTTTTTCAACATAACTTTTAAAAATGTTCCGGAAGGTCTGACACTTTTATATATATCTTAAATTAAAGCTAATGTAATGCACTTTATTATGAAAAAAAAAATATTCGGACTTTATTTTGTCTTCACGGTGAAAATGGCTATCAAATGCTATTTTTGTGTGAAAATTCTCGATTTTGTATTTTACATTTTTAACTTTATTATGCTATATCTTTTTAAAAATGTATGGATCAGTACGATTTTTTCATGAGGAGTAGTATTTATATACATCTTTCATTTGACATACTGTTTTTTTAAATCGGACCATTTCCCTATATACGAGGGGGGTTCAAATCTAAAAAATGCATGTAGAAAGTAGAACTTTTTCAACTTAAATTTTGAAAGTGTTCCGGAAAGTCTGACACTTTTATAAATATCTTAAATTAAAGCTAATGTAATATACTTTATTATGCAAAAAAAAAAATTTCGGACTTTATTTTATCTTCATGGTGAAAACAGACATCAAATATTATAAAAAAAATACGATTTTTGTAAAAAAATTCTTTTTTATATTTTTAACTTTATAATGCTATAACATTTAAAAAAATGTATAAATCAATATAATTTTTTTTTTATAGATGCATGATGTCTTTACCTATCAGTTGGTATATTTTTTTTATAAATCTGACTTTTTACCTGCCTACAGGGGGGGATTCAAAATGACAACTTTTTCACAAAAAATTGACTTTTTCAACTTAAATTTTGAAAGTGTTCCGGAAAGTCTGACACTTTTATATATATCTTAAATTAAAGCTAATGTAATATACTTTATCATGGAAAAAAAAAATTTCGGACTTTATTTTATCTTCACGGTGAAAATGGCTACCAAATGCTATTATTGTGTGAAAATTCTCAATTTTATTTTTTACATTTTTAACTTTATAATGCTATAACTTATTGAAAAGTGTATTGATCAATATAATTTTTTTATGGGAAATACTATTTTTTAATAATCCCTTTTTCATTCGACATACTTTATCTTAATCAGGATATTAATAAGGAACTAGCAGTTTATGAAGCTTTTGGAATAATCCACCAATTTTTTAAAATTAAACACTATCTAAAGATTTGCATCGAAGCGTTTTTTTTTGATAGTGATTTTAATCACTGTCAGATATCATTATACTTGATCCAACTATACCACGACACCACTGTGCCGCGACCACCCTGTGCTGGGTTGGGTTTTTTAATATTGTTACTCACAGTAAAAAGTTAAATTTGATATAGATTTGAAAGACAGAGTATTTCATTAATTGCAACCAAAATATTAACAATAATTTTTTTTATTCGCAATACGAAAATATACATAAAAACATTCATAAGTATAAGAAAAATTGATTAAAACCAAAATAGAAAAATAAAATATATGAGTGCATAATAAATATTTCAAAAAAAAAAACTAAATCGTAATAAGTGAAATATTCAATCAGGAAATAAAAATATAAATTATACAGGAAAAATGTTCAAATTACATTTTTCATAAGTAGGGATTGATTCAATGAATGCTTTTTAACGAAAAAGAACCTTTTTTAATTTGGTTCATAAGCAATTCTCTATTACTAAGTTGCTTGTCCTCGAATCTGGAATGTGTATTTTTATTAAAATTGGTATCAACAGACTTGCATGCAATACCGTTCTTTTCATCATTGTTAACATTTGATTCAGTATGAGCTTTTTTGTTTTCATTTTCTTTAATAATAATATGAATTTGTTCAAAAAATTTATCGAGTATAGAGAAACATTCTTCCACATTAAAAGATTTCGTGTTCTCGCCAAAATGAGAAGCTAAATTTGTTATAAGATCTACCGTTGTTTTAAAATTATCATTAAGTACATCAATATCCTTATCTGCTTGACAGATAAACTCTATTAGATGTTTTTTAATAACTTGAGAATAGTTCTCTTGTGCCAGTGTAGATTTAAAGTTTTTTATATGGCGAGAACGATTACGAAGCTCAGCTTCCAAACATTCAAATGAAGTTTTTGACAGTTTGTTCAATGATGAACGCAAATTCAAAAAACTAAAAGTATTATTTGTACATTTTTCAGCCATTTCTACAGCCAAGTGGACGAAGGTAACATTTGGCTTGTTAGACCGAGTACCTATCAGTTTAGGCAAACTACNCGTTTGGCTTGTTAGATCGAGTACTTATCAGTTTAGGCAAACTACCCAACGTGAAACCGTTTGCTTCACCAGCATAACTTCCCTAACATAATCATGTTTTAATTAATAACTTATTTATTTAATTTTTCAGCATAAATACAATATTACATATTTTTTTAATTTTGTAGTTTCGATTAATAATAATTAATAAATAATAAAATAAGCATGAATAATAAAATACATGAACGAGAAAATATTAAACAACTTTGTGTATACTAATAAACTGGTGTATTTTTTTTATATATGCCGTTTGAGTATAAAATTAATACGACATACTAATGCGTATTGATTTCATACTTAAATGATTCTTATTATAGAGACATAAAAATATCATTCACACTTACTGCGTTCAATTTATTGCCTAAATGTAATACAACGGACAAAAATTGTGTCAACGATTTGTCATTAATTAATGTGGAACAGGTTTGTTGATAATTTTTTAATGTCTCAAGAGATTCCGAATATATGAAAGGCCACTCTTCCTTTAACATCGTAAGGTCGATTTTCAATTGATAATACGGAATTTCGTTAAGCTTAACACAAAACTGTTCCGCCTTGCCAAGTGTCATGATGTCTCCGCTGAATTTTTCAATAGCCTTTAAGTCAGCGCTTATGGGCAATATTCTTTTTACCGCTTCTAATTTTTCAATAGCAATCATACTTCCATCCTCTAAACACTTGAAAAATTCTTCAGGCTTTGATTTTAATTGTTTTAACATTATGTTAATCGCGAGACTTCTCTTAGAGTCTAAAACGTTGGTCGTAGTAGATTTAAGTTTAGCGTTTTGAATAGGCGATGTATTGGAACGCGGTTTTTCACCAAACAACTCTACAATATCTTGACATTCAATTGCAAGATGCAGAGGTTCCAACGTCGACCACAAAGAATTTTCAATATTTTGGTTGTTAACTTTAGTCCAGTTGATTGTTTTTGTTTTAACGACCGTGGGTTTGATTGAGGATGTGCGACTTGTAGATGTACATCCTGATATCATTGAGGGAGGTGTTGGAATAGAGGACGGTATCGATGGAGGAGACATTATTGGCACAGGAGCTGGTGCATGATGTTCTGTGTTGACTGATGGAAGTGGTGGTGAGCTAATTTTCGACGTACAAGTCGACGGTAATGTTGTGGGACACGAATTCAAAGTGAGTTTTTCTCCGGATAATTGATTTTCGTGATCCTCTGGCAACGATACTGGTTCTAACTTTTTTAATGTAAGTTTTTTTCGTCTCACTGATTTACTTACTTGAGAATTTTGTAGCGGGTTTGGCGAAGCTTCCAAAAACACGTATACAAAAATGAAAGCTTTAATGTACACGTTCGAAGTACAAAAATATACTACGAACGATAATACTAATAAATAAAAATGGTCTTTTTGGATCAACATTTTCACAAAGACAAAGTGTTGTAACCTTTTAGGCTCCGTAGGTGATGAATTGAAAATATTCAGAAAAATTTTTATAGTCAAAAACACAGAGATGTTGTTTTAAACGTTAAAACTTACGAATTTTTCAACTCGAGTGACGATAAAATCTTTTGTTTATTACGTCGTTGCATGAATTATCGTTTCCATAGTAAATATTTTGACCAGTATAAATTAAATATAATAAAAATTAGTTATTTATCATGAAACATATACAATTTACNATTAAAAATTAATTATTTATGATGAAACATATACAATTTAGTAAAAATTTTTTATTGTCAAGGAAATTTTTTTTGTTTACAAACATAAGAGTATTTAAATTGATTAATTGGCTAATAAAAAAAAACATAGAAAATGTATTATCAAATCTTAATTATTTTGGAGTTTTATTTGAGTAATTTTTAACACAATTAAATTCTATTAAAATAAATACATCAAAAGTGAATATAGTATAGGAAAATTACAAAAATAAATTAAAATGAATATCAAATTGTTTAGTGAAAAATATATTAGAAGTTTTTTGAAATATTGTAATGTTTTATACCCTACATTTTATTTTATTTATGATATCTGACAGTGATTAAAATCACTATCAAAAATAAACGCTTCGATGCAAATCTTTAGATAGTGTTTAATTTTAAAAAAATTGGTGTTTTATTCCAAAAGCTACTTGATCTGCTGGTTCCTTATTAATATCTCGATTAAGATAAAGTATGTCGAATGAAAAAGGGTTTATTAAAAAATATTATTTCTCATAAAAAAATTGTGTGGATCCATAAACTTTTCAATAAGTTATAGCATTATAAAGTTAAATATAATATAAATCATAAAATCGAAAATTTTCACACAAAAATAGCATTCGGTAGCCGTTTTCGCCGTGAAGACAAGTCCAGAGGTCAAATTTTTTTTTTCAAATTAAAGTATATTACAATTAGCTTTAATTTAAGATATATATAAAAGTGTCAGACCTTCCGGAACACTTTAAAAAGTTAAGTTGAAAAATTAAATTTTTTGTGAAACAGTTGTCATTTTAAATCCCTCCCTGTGGTCAGGTTAAGTGTCAGATTTACAAAAAAAATATACCAAATGATAAGTAAAGACATCAAGCATCTATAAAAAAAAATCAAGGTAATGATATTATGCATCTATATAAAAAAGAATTATATTGACATGTTTATTTTTGAAAAAGTTACGGCAGTTTTTAGTAAAATAAATTGAAAAAATTTCGAAAATTAGCGATTTCTAAATTTGTAATTTTTTTGGAGGTTTCCCCCATTTACGGAGAACAATGGAAATTTTTTCAATTTTGAAGGGTAATGTCTTCGACTAGATACGATTTGTGATCTTTTGACGTATCGTTGAAAGAAATCCGTTCGGTGAGAGCTGAGAAAAAGTGGTAACAGACACAAAAATAAAAAAAAAAAACACATAGTAAAACCAATACCTCTCAGCTTCGCATCGAAGCTAAAATGTAAAATATAAAATCGAGAAATTTCACACAAAAATAGCATTCGGAAGCCATTTTCACCACGAAGACAAGTCCAGAGGTCAAATTTTTTTTTTCATAATAAAGTATATTACATTATCTTTAATTTAAGATATATATAAAAGTGTCAGACTTTCCGGAACATTTCAAAAGTCAAGTAAAAAAAGTAAATTTTTTGTGAAAAAATTGTCATTTTAAATCCACCCTTGTGGGTAGGTAAAGGGTTATATTTTGAAAAAAATATACCAAGTGATAGGTAAAGATATCAAGCATCTATAAAAGAAAAAAATTTACTGATCCTTAAATTTTACGAAAAGTTATAGAATTATTAAATTAAAAATATAAAAATGAATTATTTTACAAAAATCGTAATTTTTTATTAACTTTGATGTCTATTTTCACCACGAAGAAAAGTCTAGAGGTCAAATTTTTTTTTCCATAATAAAGTATATTACATTACCTTATGATTATGAAACTATATTGATATGTTTATTTTTGAAAAATTTACGGCAGTTTTTAGAAAAAAAAATTGAAAAAATTTCGAAATTTAGTGATTTTTAAATTTGTAAATTTTTTGGAGTTTTCCCCGTTTACGGTGAATGAGGGAAATTTGTTCAATTTTTGAGGGTAATGTCTTCAATTAGATACGATTTGTGATCTTTTGACGTATCGTCGAAAGAATTCTGTTCGATGAGAGCTGAGAAAAAGTGGTAATAGACATACACAAAAAAAAAAACACATCATAGTAAAATTAATACCTTCTCAGCTTTTCATCGAAGCTAAAATGGTTTTTGTAGAGAAGAGAGGGCTCTAATTTACTTTCCCTTCCTTAATTCTGTTAAGAGAATTATTCCTCTTAAGGTGTGATACTTCTATCACTTAGTCACAAGTCTCATTTTAGATTCAGTTTAAACTTTATATTGCTTCTTTTATTATCATTATTATATTTTTTGTCAATAATTTACAATTTGATTTCAGCCACCTGATTATGACACAATATTTGACTATTCATTTTTACGAGTTGTGAGTACTATTAATAATGATATCAAATCATTGGTCTATGGGAAAAATCAAAAATTTATTAATCATTCGCAAATAAATCGAGATGACATGAAAATGTTATCAATATCTTGTAAAGACGTTTATGAGTGTAGACAAAAAAAAAACAAGCTTAAACAAATTAAAAAAAGAATCAGAGTCTTTAGAGTGTTTTCACATATTTTTATGTCTTCAAATTTTAGAAGTGTTAAAAAATAATATTTGGGCTAAAAATGAAAATCCAAAACATATTTTTAAAATATATTATCAATATGTAAGTTACTACATATCTAGAATGATTTCATTTTTTATTTATGGCAAATTTGTTGTTAATCCTTGTCAATATGATTTTGCAATGTGTATTATTGATGTAACGAGACTTCAACAACAAAAAAAAGATACATTGGATGTCAGTCTGACACATTTAAGTAATTCTGCGTTACTATCTTCAATGAATGAATTTTGCGATAATTGTAAAAAAAATAATGAATTTTTAAAATCGATTATTTCATTCAAATGTAATACTCTGGAAGGAAAAAGTATACAATTTTTTATTCAAGAAAATGTCAAAAATTATGTGAAGAATATATTTTTAATAACAAATATCCCTTGCGTAATAGAAATGACAAATATTTCTCATGATTTTATTTACAAAGGTAATTAATATGATGTAGTAATACTAATAAAATTGATTAAACAAACTAATATTCTCGTATGTTGATGAATAAAATTTAATGAATATAAAAATGTATAATATTAAATTTGACAATTTCATATCTACTTATTTATGAGCTACAAAATTAGTGTTATATCCCTAAATACCAACCATGTGATTAGGGATATGACACTAATTTTTTTGAAAACTATGGAAAATTCAATATTTTTGTAATGAAAAAAATTATTAATTAAAACGATCGACTTGATGCAACCTCATTATGTCTGAGGAAATTAGTATAGGGAGAGGGTCACATTACACTTTCATATTAATTTTTGTTTATTAATATATATTTATTTTAATTATATGAATCTTTTTTCATCATGATTGTTGAAAGAAATCCGTTCGGTGAGAGCTGAGAAAAAGTGGTAACAGACACAAAAAAAAAACACATCATAGTAAAACCAATACCTTCTCAGCTTCGCATCTGAGCTAAAAATAATCAATTAAAACGATCGACTTGATGTTACATCATTATGTCTGAGGAAATTAGTATAGTGAGAGGGTCACATCACACTTTCATATTAATTTTTGTTTATTAATATAATGTTATAATATAACATTTATTTTAATTATATGAATCTTTTTTCATCATAATGATCTCAAAATTTATATGTTAACCTTTATATAATTTAATTTTACTTTAATTGACTCTTCATTTTTCGAAAANTGATGATCTCAACATTTATATGTTAACCTTTATATAATTTAATTTTACTTTAATTGACTCTTCATTTTCCGAAAAATGTAGCAGTTAGCAAAAAGGAAGTGGCTATGGATAAAGATTATGAAAATAAGAAAAACAATTTTCTACAAAGTTTAAAATTAAGTAAATCTGAAATTGAAACACTGGAGAGAAATTCAATATATTTCGGTAATGATGATTGGTATCGAAAAGAACGTAAGAAACGTCTATCAGCATCTTATTTTCACCGTGTGTGTAAATATCAACAAACATCATGTAAAGAAGCAATCTTGAGACTAGTGATGCTTATTCCGATTGAAAAATCTGAGGTCTCTGAAACTGAAAATACTATTTCGTAAGTAGTATTAAAAAATTATATTAGTTTTTATATTAATTTCTAATAGTTATTTTTTCCTACATTAGCTAACATTCTGATCATTGATGATATATTACTAATTTTTCAGTACGCATTATAGAATTACTTTTAAATATGGTAAAGTTAGTGAGGAGAAGGCAAAAAAACATTTTGAAAAGAGAATGGGCATTCAGATTATACAGTGTGGTGTATTTATTAATGAAAACTTAAATTTTTTATCAGCTCGACCCGATGGTTTAATTGAAAAAGATGGTATTGTTGAAATAAAATGTCCTTTTAACGCTAAAGAAATGACTCCCGAAAATGCTATTAAACATAAAGTGATAAAATATGTGCATTACAACAATAATGGAGATCTTTTACTAAAACGTACCAGTGAAATTTTTTATCAAATACAAGGAGGACTGCATATTACACAGAGACAATATTGTTATTTAATTATTTGGACACCAAAAGGTATTAAAAGTCATTTAATTATAATATCAACATTACGTAGTAAAGAGTTTTTTCAAATATCTAAGACACACCAAATGGACAGATATTGCCGGTCGTTAGTAAAAATAATTTCAAAAAAAATTTGTTTCTGAGTTTTGCATTTTGTTATCATGANAATTTGTTTCTGAGTTTTGCATTTTGTTATCATGATGAGTATAAATTAAATATAATAAAAAGTTTCTTGCAATATTCTCGTGTAAATAAAAGGGTCATTCGAATTTTTGCCAATATTTATTATGTATAAAATTAGTATGTGGGGAATATATCTACCCAACCGGAACTCGGTGCACTCCAGTGGTCTGTAATAAAAATTAGCTTGTCTGAACTTATAACAACAAAATATTGAAAATTTCTTTGCTCTATGTTTTACCCAAAGAGGTACAATGTAAATGGGACGCAAAGATTTTAAAAATCATAATTTTAATATGACATAAGAACATATATATGATTTCAAATGTATTATTAGTTTTCAAAATCTAAGGGTTTTTAAGATCGACAATTAAAATAAACATTATATTTCATTTATTAAAAATAATTAAAACATATTTTTAGAAAAATTATGCATATGTTTAGCGGTAAACATCATCAGTGCTAAATTTATGCGTTTAGCGCTGATGATAGTAAAGTTATTTTCAAAATATATATCAGCAAATTTGTAGTAATTTTTGTAGCTTTTCAAGTTGAATTAATTTTTTAGTTTTAGATTAATAATTGAAATTTATATTTAGTTTTAAAAATAATTTTTTTTTATTGTGCAAACAACATATTTTTTTATACTAAAAATAAAATGTAATAAATTATAGTATTTTGGCAATGAAAAAAAATGTACTTTAAGGTACATTAAAAATTTGTCGAACAAATACTCACTTTTTTTTTATTCAGACTTTTTTATACAGAAAAATCATCAAATTATTATATTTATACTCTATATATTGTTTTCAGTATTGATATATAAAAAAATCACATAATAAATCATTAAAACTATTTTTGATTACTGTGTATCCGGTATTCCATTATCTTCGGGATATATTATGCTCTATTTGGAAATTGTATTTGTGTTCCTACTAATTTAAAATCTATTGTCACCCGGGTAATAATAATTATTACCCGGATGACAATAAAAAATTATTATTATTATTATTATAATAATAATAATAATTATTAGTGTATAAAGTATGTAATAAAAAAAAGGTAGCACAGTGGGGTCGAGGCACAGTGTTGACGAGGCATAGATGGGACAAGTATAGATGATATCTGACAGTGATTAAAATCACTATCATAAGAAACGCTTCGATGCAAATCTGTAGATAGTGTTTCCTTTAGAGAAATTGGTGAAATATTTTAAAAGCAACATGAACTCTTATTTCTTTAATTATATCCTGATTAGTAGTTCTTTGATTTTAAAATATAATATATGAATAAATACTAATTATAGTTTTTAAATTTAGTATGAAATTGTGAGGCCAGCTATGATGTATGGTTCATAGTGTTGGGCGGTTGATAAGAAAGTAGAGCAGAGAATAAGTGTAGCAGAGATGAGAATGCTTAGTTGGATGAGTGGAGTGACTAGAGAAGATAGGATAAGGAACGAGCATATAAGAGGAAGTATAGGTGTTGCGTCAATCGTGGATAAGATGACAGAAAATAGACTTAGATTGTTTAGTCATGGTATGAGGAAAGAAGAATCGAAAGCTGTAAGAACAGTTATAGAAATGAATGTTGAAGGAAGAAGAGATAGAGGAAGACCAAAAAAAAGATGGAGGGATGCTATTGAATGCGATTTGAGGACAGCTGATGTGAGCGTAAAAGATGTGGGAGATCGTGTCAAGTGGAGGCTTAGGATAAGGGTGGCCGACGCCAAGTAATTGGGATTAAGGCAAAGTAAANCCAAGTAGTTGGGATTAAGGCAAAGAAAAAGAAAAAGATTACCAGAAATTCCGGTGGCAATTGACATAATATGATTGTTGTTTGGGAATGTACAATTTAGCGTTTAGTTGGGTTTAAACAATATAGCGTTAAATCAATTACCTACTCAATCGCTTGTATATTAATATACACTACACTTTAATGATACTATAAATAAATAAACTCACACATACATACATATGTATTTATAACATTGTATCTAATGTAAGTATAACATAATAAAAAGTAACCGTAAAATGAAAAAAGTGGAATATAAATTTTAGTACTCATATTAAATGTAATGTAAATCGAAAAATATTTGTTTAAATGAAAAAATATAAGATAATTTTTTTGTTTATAATTGTCTTTTAAACAACTTTTGTACGAAACTTTTTTTTGTAAGTTAAATATTTTTTGAGAAAATGAAAAAAGCTCATATTTTTGAACTTTTGCGAGGCTGTAAAAAAAAAGCTCAATTTCAATCAATGGGGACTATTAGTATGTCATTATACATATTTTAATTCAACTATTAATAAAACAAAATTTGGTTGGGAATTTTTTAAGAAATTTTTCCTTTGTTGACTGTCCTAGATGTCAATTTTAAACTTGTAATTGAGCTAAAAGTTATAGTAATATATTCAATTTTTTTTACTATAAACTTTCATAAATCTTTATCAAAAATTTTTCATCAACTTTAAAGAACCAAAAATAAAGGTTAAAATTGAATATTTGGACTGATTATTTTTAACATATTAAAAATCAAATCAGTAATAATTTGAAAACAATTTTTTTTTCTTTTAATTATTATTTTATATGTAACTAGTAATAATATAAAAAAATAGAACTGATAGATAAAGTCTAATTGCATATTTTAAAACAACGCGAAAATTTGATTTAGAAAAGTATATTTTTGCTTCTGATGAAAGTTCCTTGAAGTCCAGTGCATTCATTTATAGTAATAAACAGTTTTTATTGATAATTATTGTATCAAGCCCTTTAATTTTTATACGCGTAATAGTAAAGCAAAATATAACTTCTTTATTATTTTTATAATTTCTCCGTTTAAATTACAATATTAAATATCAATTTCATACTAAATTTAATAATTATAATTAGTATATATT